TGCTTCACCAGTTGCATAACCAGATTATATAGGCCTTTCCCTACAAGAATGGAAAAGAACTAGTTAGGTTTTTTCTGTTTTGGTTTGGTTTGTGGGTTTTTTTTTTTTCCAGGTTGGAGTGTTCTTGTTGGTACCACTTATTTCTTTTTTGCAAATGTGGAGTTCTCAGAAGCTGACATTCTGAAGTGTTACAATTTGGGATTGCCAGGAATATTTGTGATAACTGGCCAGATGTCTCTAAACTGAGTGTAATGAACACACACTTTTCTTGAAGAGGTGGAAAAAGCAAGGTGTGCATATGATGCATAACAGGAGGATGCTCTAGCTGTGTAGTATTGTGAAAGGCATAGCTGCTAGCATGCTTCTCAAATCCTATGTGGAAAGTTTCTTACCTCCCAGGAACTCCATATTATTTTTGGGTGCCCTCATATTGAACTCACTGTAGTTGTTGATGAGACCCTATAAAGAATGATGTCCACATACGTGCACAGACACCACAGTCATCAGTTTACCACATGCACACAGCACTGGGAATAGAACTTAAGACCTTCGCCTCCGCAAACACAGCTGCTCATCTGGCTGTGGGCTTTGTAGCCAGCAGAGGGAACTGATAAACACTCTCATAGGGCTGCCTTATATATATTTTTTCTAACCAAGAGAGGGCACTGATTCTCACTCCCTTTTGAAAAGGGTCCATTGCATGTCACCCCTCAACAGTTTCACCTGCCATTCAAGAAGCAACAGACTTACATTCGTCTTGCTTTTGCTATAAAATATGGACTTGCATGAAGAAGTTTTAATCATCAAACGATGTCCCCAGACTGCATAGTGGTATTAATCCCTTATAGTGCAATTACGAGACATTAAATTCATTACACATCAAGACAATTACAGAAACACATCCAACATTTCAGGAGTACAGGGAGACCAAGCAAAATTGTTTACTGATGTGTACAGAGAATAGGTATAGTTATTGCACAAGACCTACAAAAGGCTTCAGAACCAGGACTCATCATTATCTTTTTAAACACACAGAGCTCCAACACTTTTGCTGAAGGAGAATTCTGTTAGCACAAAGAATAGATTTCACTTTCTGGAGCGAAAGCCACAAAAAGGCAACATCACTTACCCAAAACTCTAGAAAGTGTAAGTGGCAAAAGTAAGACAATTTTGTACAGTTAAATACAGATATTTGTTATTTTTAATCAGACAGAACCAAGCCACCTCTAATGTTTGTCTTTTCTTGTTCCTCACTACAATAACTTCATTGAACCATTGCGCTTTTAGAAATATGACACTAGTGAAAATTAAAAATTATCTCCCTGTAGAAGGAAAGAACCTACAGCTTAGAATAATTGGAAGGCCAAAAAAGTAAGGGAAAATAAAGGGATATATTTAAGCTTCAGGGATAAAACTTAATCTTTCCTCCCCTGAGATATATAGCAAGACGTAGAATAAGTGGGCAGAAAATTCTGCCTTGTAGATGTGCTCATGGACATATGAAAATTGTCCTACCTTCTATGGCAGGTAGTGATACAACCATTAATGGTTCTTTTTCTAGTCCTCATCACTCCTGCTAGTCCACCAGTTACCTTTCACATTCACTATTTTATCAGTGAGCAATGCATGCTTAGTAGTGGTAGTTTTCAATTTAAAAGAATAAGAGACAAGACCTCCTTTGCTAGGGCAAAATTGAGCATCAGAATGTGTTAATTTTTTTTTTTTTTTTGAAAATGCAGTATTTGCATGGCCACAGGAGCAATTGGGAGTCTGTACCCTCATAAATTAGCTCCAGGGTTATAAACTAAAGGGATAGGGCAAAGCTGGTGTTTTTTGGTGTGTGTTTTTGTTTGTTTGTTTTAATGGGTATGAAATTATATCCTATACATTTATAGAGGTGGCGCTTTGATAGCAAATCTAGAAAAGAAAGGAAGAATATATTCTGTGCCATACAAGATTCACGTGAATAATTTTGCTTAAGCACCATGTGCTTCTCTTTGAGCTCTTTACTGCTCCTGAGTTACCAAGACTGTAATTCTTACAGTCAGACGTTGCCCATCATTTCTGGTCCATGGCAGTGGATTTCTGCTTGCTCATCCTGCCTAGAGTGGGTTGGTCTTCTTTAACCACAGAGGGTAAGAAAGAGGTGGTCATTTGGTTATTTATTTATTTATCCCCTGCAAGAATGATTTGCAAATTCTGTTAAGGGGTTTGTAAAGGGTTTCACAGGAAGTTTGAAAGTGTTAGGAGTAAATTACCTCTCTCAAGATTTGTCACTGGAATTCTCCCTGCTGTTCAGCCCTAAAGAGTCATGCAAAGATAGATCAGCTGCAAAGGGGTGGACTTCATAAGGCTGAATAAAAAAAATGAAGTGTTGGATTAAAGTGCTGGACTGGAACCCAGAAGAGCTAAATCTGATTCTCTACCATGAATTTTCACTGTGACCATAAGCAAAACAGTCCATATATTTATCAGCATGGCCAGAGGAAAACGTATCTCTGCCTCACAGAGAGGTGGGTGAAAATAAATTCATGAAGATCAGAATGTCTCAAAGCAGTGGTAGTGGCAGGCCTATGCATAGATAAGCAGACAGTGATATGTTTATCCTGTGTTCTAGGTATCTAGTCTAACACTTTTGACAGCAGTGGGAGTTATACTAGTGGCTTAAGTGGGCATTAGTGCCCTAAATGAACACCTAAAAAAACTAAGCGCAACTGCCAGGAGAAATGGCTGAGCATGCCTGCTTAACTGGTCTGTGGCTGAAAAATTAATATAGTCTCTTTACCTTTATTTTGTTATTTTAAAATGTTATGGTCATTACTCAAAAAAATCTGAATTCCTTGTTCTCTCACTGATTCACTTTTTTATTGTGGTTGTAGCACTATTTTAAAATGATGGTATTTTTTATCTTAATATCAGTATGCTTTGATCTTATAAAAAGGACTTTCAGATCAGCACAGAAGTCAATAAATGCATTCCTAGACATCTAAGTTCTCTTGGAGACCTGCTGGATGCAGTTTCCCTTCATCCTCTGCTGCAAAGTGATGCTAAGCTGAATTATCTACTCAGCCTAAGAGAGAAATTGCTCAGAGGAGAGTCTGATCTGAATTAGACATATTCCTTTGAATAGTTTTCTTAATATGTCTTGCAATCCATTTTTCAAATGCCAAAACATTACATTTCACAGCAGGCTTTAGGAAGAGGTATTTTGCTATATACACATTTCCTGTGGCAAATGCATTTTTTTACATCTTTTTTTTTTCCTTGAAAATTGCTGTTAGAAGCTTTGATTTATCTGATAGAGTAAAATTCTGTGTGAACAATGAGGCTTTACTGCCCGATTGCAGACCTAAATTCTGTATGCGTTACACTTAAAATCGCATATCTGTTTTACAAGAGGGGTGTTTTTGGAGAGGAAAGGGAGGTTTGCTATAAAAATCAGATATTATCTAAGGAATAAAATTTTGTAGCTCAGAGATAGAATTCCAGTTATGAGCAAAACCATTGGGCTCTATTCCTGTCTTCTATGGGCAATTTATATGGATTACCTGGATGCAAAAATAGTTTTACTGTAAGCCTGCTATAGAAAGCACTGTACTTTGTTTTTGAATAGTTCCATTTGTTTGGGTTTTGGGTTTTTGTTTGGTTTTTGCTTTTTTTAAAGATACTTATGTAATCTTCCAGGCAAATAGCTGAAGGTGGTGTTTTCTTTTCCCCATTAGTAACAATAGATAACATGTAAAATACAGAAAAAAATCTTAGATACAGTATGCAGAAAAGGGCACTCTGCTCAGAGTTCTGCTGCTATTATACAGTGCTATAGCTTAAAATGTTGCAGTTAATGTGAGTACAGCTATATGTGGACATAATTCTTTTTTAGAAAAGACTTTTTATTTGGGGAAAGAACAAAGAAGAGTCAATTTAGAAAGAGAATTATTTGGCTATCAAGAAGAAAATATCACTCTTTAACTGCAGAATGTATTACACAGAGTACAAACAATTTACAGCCAGCATTCACTGCTTGCTTTTGGTAGTTCATGCTTTCCCTCCTCTCTGAGCACTGGAGAGAGGCATTCTAGGATTACGATTTCTATGATGGAATTTCTTTAAACAGGTGACTGTGTTAAAAGTGCACTGACTCACACAACATGAGAAACTGGTACTAGTCACTAATAGATTCATCTCTGTGAGGATGGATAGATGAATAGAGGGGACTGCAAATATAGTTTTGAAACCACTTTTTAATGTTTCAACTGTTCAGTAGCTGTCTCTGAGGCACTTAGCTATTCCTTCCTCTAGCATTAGAAATGTCTGTGTAGCCAAACAGTAGATAAAATATAATTCAAGCTGCTCTAGAAATTTCATGGAGACACAAGGTCTGTTGTTCCAAGAAACAGAACTTTGCTTGTGAAATGTGTACTTTAAGCATATTTGGTACCAGATAGTGAATTCCATCAGCCTTATTACTGTGCTTCTGTGAGGGCTTAAGTTCCATCACACTTTTTTTAAAGGCAGTGAAATCTGTGAAGATGCACTTCAGTCCCAAGATTGGCTCAATCTGGCTGGTAAATAATAACAGTAATAAAAAACAATTCCTTCCTTAAATTAGCACTAAGCATTTTTTTTTTCTCAAACAGAATTTAAGGAAGCTTTAGAGTGTCCTTTTTTTTTTTATAACTTTGACTGGACTGAGAGGGAGACTACTAAGAGGGATAAATAAATTGTTAGAATTGGTCTGGGTGTACTAATCTCTTCAAAATCAGTCACAAAGGGAGAGAAGACCTTTTCCCAGCCACACAGTGTTTCCCAGCAAGATCTGTTTTTATTTCATTGCTAAAACAACAGACTGTTACTAACTGAAATGTCAGATGACACTACATCTGAAAAAAAAGAAGGGGGGGGGAAGCCAGCACCACCCAGCAAGGCAGTGCTAGAGTTCACATTAAGACTTCCTCGCAATAGCTGGTTAGAACAGAAACCTGAAGTAGCAGTAATCTTACCTTGAGTATACAAGATCCAAGGAGAGAAGATCACTGGCTCAAAAGAGTGGAGGACTGAGAAAGTGCTCTGATCTGCTGCTGGTAGCATGCACTTGGCTTTTATGTGCAGGTGGGAGGAGCTGCTCCCTACGGTAGGTGGGCAGTGAGGATAGCAGGCAGACAGCCTTCAGAAGGCATTGTAGAGTAGGTTTTTGCTCTTTGGGGACAGAGGGAGGGAGAAAAAGCAAGCTGGATGGCATTTACAGGAGAAAGTGTTGGATTTGTTTGTTTTTTTTTCTTTAAATATTAACTAAAGATTTTCTACTGTATTTGTTTCTCTGAATCTGAATCTCTGAATTATTCCAGTTACAGTTATAATGCTACTAGGTCTCACTTTGTCTTTTGGAAGGATTTTTACAGCAGTGAGATGATAATGGAAAGTAGTTATCAAAAAGGCTGGTGTTTCCCTTTCTAAGAAGGAATAGCTATGAAGAAGCAGACCCTTGATCCTTGAAGTTGTCTGTATACTCAGGGATTGAACTTCCTTTACGTTCCAGATGTCTACTAGATCTCAGCTCCAGAATCCTCTTAAGTTTCTGTTGTGCTGAGCGACCCAGCTTTTCCTTGATGCAGCTGTAACATGTTCCATCTACACACTGACTTCCTAGCAGTTCAGTTTAGAGCAGTTTTATTGTTCCCTGTGTCTGAGTTCTAAACAATTTTCCCAACTGTTAGTCTCAAAAGGCAAATGTAGCCAAAAGGACAAACCAGTAGGAATACGCATTCCTGGTGGTTTCTGTGTAAAGTTATTCATTGTTCATTTTAACTCATTCATTGCTTTTGGGGCACAGAAGAGTGGATAGCACAGTGTCCAGACACTGGTTTCCTGCAGGTGAAACAGACAGTTGTATCCATCTGGAATACACTAATTCTGCATTTGCACATGTCCCTGCATGAGGCATCTGAGCCTGTATTATTTACCATAATACACAAGTCAAACCTGTGTCATATTGAATATTAGTGAGTGGAGAAAGCTGGAAAGATAGAACAGGAAGGGGAGGACAGCAGTGTGAAATCAAGGGAAAGGCTAGAGATGCATCCTGATTTAAAATCTGGGGAGGACCAGGCAGAAAAATGAATGAGAACCTGAGTTTACAGAGCTGAGATGAGCAAGTTTGTAGCGAAGGTGATGGAGATGAGATATGATATATACTGCTTCTTGTACTAAGGGGCTAAACTGGTCACTGGATAAGGCGGTGTAAGATGCTTATAGAACCTGGGAACTTCTGTCAATATCCTGAATTTGCTCTCAGCGTTAGACTCTTGTGTCTGTAATTTGAGATCTGAACATATATGCTATGATCAGTGTAAATAGGTCTCATGTCCTAAGATATTTATGTTGGGAATGCATATTAAGTCTTAAGATGGACTCAGAATAACATTCATTCCTTATCTCTCTTCTCCTTTTCTCTTGATGATAATGAGTGTTTAAAAAAAAAAGTAGTACTGAGTAAGTTGATCAGAACATATTTAGTTGCATGCAACTTTGTTCTTGTGTTTTTAGAAAAGGGCTTACAAATCAAATACCCATCAACTTGGATGTCACTGTTATGTGGCAGAAGTAGCTGCATAACCTTGGTGATGTAGCCTCTGTGAGATTTAGAACCGTCAAGCTGAAAAGGACTGGTTAAATTGCTAATATTTCTTACAGGTATCAGGTTGCTATTGGATAGGGCAATTTCTACATTATTGCAAGTAATTGGGGAAAAAAGTCATGTTATTTTGTTATTTCTGCAGCACTCAATGTATTTTTACAGTTCTCATTAAGAAATGAGTTTCTGCTCTGAAGGGATTACAGTGTGCTTTTAGGAAGGCTACACGAAGTAATGGTAACATGGGAATAGGGAAAGCAAGGGTACAAGTTACTGCAATAAGTTTATGTAATTAGTTCAGGTATGGCACCTTGTAATGGTTCAATTGATTAAATGATGTACATAAACTGGAATTCTACTCAGCTAACATCTAAACAATCAGATGGTTTTGTACTTAGAGAAATCTAGGTCAAGATTTTCAGAAATTAGAGAGTAAATAGGTACCCATGTCCTTATCTGATGATTAAACTGTTCCTACTGTTTCAAAATTGCTGAGCTTTCTGTAGTCCCTTTTAAAATCAGTGGATACTTCTATAAACTGAGTACCTTCTAAAAATCAAGCTCTTTTTTTCTTGGGAAAAAAAGTTTAAATGTAGAGGACTAGCTGTATGTTGATTTTTTTTTTTTTTTAATT